GGCGCCAACTGCAGAGGGCGCCAGCAGTCCAGAACCGGAGATCAGGAACTCAGAATAAAATAGCAGCCTGGCAGGTGGTAACCCGCGGACCAGGGATCAAGCCCTGGCTGAATCCGTAACACTATCCCTCCCTCTAGAAGGCAACGTCTCTGCTGCCAAAAGTCATGAAACAATGCTGAAAACTGCGGAGGACGAGACGGGGCCGATCACTGGCCAGCCAGTCACAAGGGAAGAGGGGTATAATGCAGGTGTCCGGTTGTGTGATTAGGGAACAGGGCTTGTAATTGTGAGCTGGGAACAGGGTTGTTCTATTGATGAGCTAAGGGAACATGGTAGTTCTACTGATGAACTAAGGGTTTAGGGACAACAGGGAACAGGGCAATCCTACTGATGAGCTAGGGATTTTGGAACTGCGGGGAACAGGGTGGTTCTACTAATGAACTAAAGGTTTAGGGACAACAGCGAACAGGGTAATCCTACTGATGAACTAAGGGTTTTGTAATTGCGGGGAACAGGGTAGTCCTATTGATGAACAAGGGTTTTCAGGGGTATGGTTGCAACATTTCTGAGTAGTGGTTATGCGAAAGTCTTGGGAACAGGTCTTGAGAAGAGTCGCAGAAGTATCAAGGAGGGAACAGTCTTCAGTCATCTGAGGACGTCGTCAATGGGGCTTCAGCTTGAATGTCCCAGTAGCATGAGGCGTCCGGTAGTCTTGATCTGGTGCTGAGGTCTGATCCGGATGGCAGGTCGCGGACTGATATTGATGTCAATGTCGAGGCTGCTCCAGAAGTCTGCGAGTCCAATGTGCCGGCCAATGGGACCAGCATGGTGGCCAACCAGCTGCTTTATCTCCTCGAACTGAGCTGCAGCATGCCATCGTCCTCGTGCGCTTGCCATTAGATCCATTATTGCCGGCGACGCACAGGGGCCACATAGGGAACTTGGACAAGAGAGACAAGGATGTGGCTAAGGACAGATGGGAGAACGGGGCAAGGCACAGGCAAGAGTGGATCAGACAGGGGGGGTTCAAGAGGCCAGGGCTTTGCTGGGTACAGGGGTGTGTGTAGACAAGGAATGCAGGGTTTGGGCGGGGTCGAGGAGGGATTTATGCAAGGGTTCGGGTTTTGAGTTATAGTATGTATCTAGGATATAGGGTGAGCACGATCATAGGCGCGAACAAGCTTCATAGCATTCTTAAGGTTAGCAAGAGGTTCCCACGTAGATTCTTCGTCAGGGTATCCTGTCCATTTAACTTCGTATTCTGTGATTGGTTCAGGGTAGTCAGATACCTGAGTAGTTCTTCGTCCTATGATGGCTTCCACAATGAATTCAGGGCCTGTGGGTAACATGATTGGTGGAGGTCTAGGAGATGGGCGGTCAGCTAATTGGGGTTGGGATTCGTGGTATTCTTATAGGTATTCGATGTGGAAGACCGGGTGGACACGACTCATGTCAGGGGGGAGTTGGAGTTTATAGTTGACGGGGGAGGTTTGTTCAATGCGGGGAAAGGTAGCCACTTGTTCGAGAGTTTCTTGGACAAGCCATGTTTGGGTTCAAAGCGTTTGGCGGAGAGCCAGAATTTGTCCCCTACTTTGAATTGCAAGTCACGTTGGTGTTTGTTAGTCTTGTTTGCTTGTTGTTCTTGTGTTCTTTCAAGGGCTTCGGTTGCTTCTCTGAGGAGTCGATTCACTGTTGCTACCCATTCATTGAGAGAAGGGCAGGGACTGGAGGGGTCGAGTTGCGAGGGGAGCGGGAAATCGGAGGGCAGGCGCGGGTGATAGCAAGGTCAAGGTAGAATGAAGTCGTGCCAGTGGAAGGACAGACAGCGTTGTTGTAGGTGATCTCGTCAGCGGTGAGCAACTGATCCCAGTCACGTTGATGTGGATGACAATACTTCGCAGGATTCTTTGGAGAGTATTGTTCATCTTCTCGGTTTGTCCATCGGATTGTGGGTGGATTGCAGTGCTATACTTGAGCGTGGTTCCGTAGGCTTTAAAGAGGTGTTTCCAGAATTTTGAAAGGAAGCGAGGGTCACTGTCGTTGATGATGTTGTCAGTGAGACCGTGATGGCAAGCAACATGGTCGAAGAAGAGAATGGCGACGTCCTTGCCGTTGTGCGATGTGGTGCAAGGGATGAAGCGGGCGCGTTTAGTCAAGCGGCAAGCAATGACATAGATGCAATCATGTCCGTGGTTGGTCTTGGGGATACCGCAGACGAAGTCCATGGAGATGGACAGCCACCGGTGGGTGGGGATCGGCAATGATTGTAGCTTGCCGGGCTTAGCGCGGTTAGAGGGGTTGACGGCTTGACACATGGAGCATGAGCGGATGTATGCTTTGACGTCGGCGTGTCGAATGTTTTATGGAACCCAAGATGACCGGCAGTCTTGGCATCGTGGTGTTCGGCCAAGAGCTGGGTACAGAGATCACGTGCGTCAGGGATGCAAAGTCGGCGAGTGCCTTTGGTATCGATGTAAAGGAGATTGTCATGGAGGGAGTAGTCGGGGACGGGATTAAGGTCACGAAGCTTGTTGTAGATGGTGGCGAAGTCTGGGCAAGAGAGATAACCTTGGGTGTAGTGATGATGAAGAGACGGGAGGAGTTGAATATGTGTCATTGTGGCGTAAACTTTGTCAGAGGTTTTGTGATCGGGGCGCCGGGAGAGGGCATCGGCAACACGATTGCTTTTGTCGGGTGTCTGGCAGATGGTGAGGGTGAACTGGGCGAGAAAGTCTAACCAGCGAGCTTGTCGTGGGGTAATGTCTTTTCTTTGTTAGGATAGAAGAGACAATGGTGTTATCCCTGTAGATGGTGAAGTATTGCCCGTCGAGGTAAGGGCGCCAGACTTTGAGGGCGTGTATCACAGCGAGGAGCCCCTCGTTGGAGGGGTACTTCATTTCTGCGGGAAGGAGTTTCTTGTTGGCGAAGGCAATGGGGTATTCGCCCGGTGGAGCCTCGAGGTGGGTAGGGGATTCCTTGATGGAGGGAGTTTCGGTGGTGTCACGAGGGAAATGTTAAGACAGGACGGCTCCAATGGCCACGTGAAGGGTTCGTCCTTGCGGGTGAGTTCGTGGAGAGGGTACGAGATGTCAAAGAAGTTGCGGATAAAGGGGTAGTAGTAGTTGGCAAGGCCAAGAAATGATCGGAGTTGGAGTAGGGTCTCGAGAGGTGGATACTCGACGAGGGCGGTGACCTTCAATGGGTCCATGCGGATACCTTCAACGGAGACGATGTGGCCAAGGTATTCAACGCTTGAAGCGACAAAGGTTCATTTGCTGTGCTTGGCGTATAATTTTTGCTCTCTTAGGATAGAGAGGACTTAGCGGAGATGCTGAAAGTGGGACTCGAAGGTGGGGCTATAGACGAGGACATCATCGAGGTAGATAACGACACAGACTTCGAGGAGGTCGCGGAAAATGTGATTCATTGTAGATTGGAATGTGGCGGGGGCGTTTGTGAGGCCAAAGGGCATCACGAGGAATTCGTAGTGCCAAAATCGAAAACGGAAGGCGGTCTTGTGGGTATCCTCCTCGCAGATGCGGATCTGGTGGAAGTCACTGCGAAGGTCGATCTTGGTAAAATACTTGGCTCCACGGAGTCGATCGAGAAGCTCGGACATCCGAGGTAGGGGGTACTTGTTCTTGATCGTGATCCGGTTCAAGGCGCGGGAGTCTGTGCACATCGGAAGTTCCAATGTTCCGCCTTTCTTTACGATAAGGCAGCTTGTGCCGAAGGGGGATGAACTCGGCTTAAGGAATCCTTTCTCAAGGAGTTCATGGAGTCGTCGCTTCATTTCTTCGGCTTCTGGAACATAGAGTTGGTACAGAGGGCGGCAAGGTGGAGAGTGACCGAGTTCCAAATCGATGGTGTGGGATACGCCACGAACCGGAGGTAATTCGGCAGGCAAGGACTCGGGGAAGACGTCCTTGAACTCGTCGAGGATTGAGGTGAAGGCAGGGTCGGAGGGGGGGGGCTTGGTCGGGTTTATCCGTTGGGAGCAAGTCCTCGGGACGCTCGCAATCAAGGACAAGGCAATAGTAGGTTGAGTCAGGGTTCGTGCGAGCCATGTGAAGGAATTGGTGCGGGGTGACGAAGCTTGGGGCGGTGAGATAGGGGAGATAGGGAATGTCGATGGTTGTGTCAGGGGGGTTGGTAAGGCGGAGAAAGTTGGGGTGGAAAGCATATGGCATGTAGCGGTCCAGCCACGGTGTTCTCAAAACGATATCGCACATTAAATGCATGACATCGAATGAGACCTGACTGCGGAGGGTTCCGACAGTCATGGTGGTCTCGGGAACCGTGTGGTCTGCTACGACGACGGTGTCTTTGTCCCCTAAACGAATTGTAATCAGGGAGTCGTATCCGGTAGAGGTAAGACCAGCTTTCTGGACACACGCATCGGTGATGAAATTCCCGGTGGCTCCAATGTCGAGGAGGGCCCGAAACTTGGTCGTAGACGCACCAAGGTGGCGGCGACAAATTTGAGATGAAAGCGTGATGAGTTGGCGGTGGAGATAATGGTGTTGAGGCGGCGTTGTTCATTGCCTAATCGGACAAAGTTCCTCAACAACGTCTGAGAAGGTTACAGAGGATGGATTCGGAAGGAGGGTTGAGGAACAAAGCGGCAGTGAGGGGGTCGTTAGGCAACGAGGGTTGCAACGCCTGGGGGTCGTCCGATGGGGGGTGCGGCACCGGAGAGGGGGGAGGCAGGCGTATTGTTGATGCCAAATGGGCCACCGGTGGGATGGAGATCGTCACCGATGGGGTGGCCGGCAGACCAGTCGTCGGTGTCGGGCCGGAGACCTAGGGACAATGTTCAGGTCGAAGAGGGACCCGCTCCTGCCGAGGGGGGTGATGCGGAGGTTTCGGGCCGAGGAGCCGCGGACTGGCGTGTGAAATGTCTAGCATGTGGGCAGTCTGTTTGCAGGTGGCCTAATTGACGGCACCACAAACATCCACCCTTTGCCCGAAGGTGGGCTCTTTCCTCGGGTGTGAGTTTCTTGAGGTGGCTCGAGAGGGTGGTCCGCGAAGGGCGGCTGGAGCGATCTCTCTTTTCCATCCGCATGAGGTGAATGGCAGAGAGTTCGTCCGGGGAGAGCGATGTGGTGGATCGGAGAGGGTGTCAGGGTCTAGAGCGGTGAACTCGTCCGAGGAGGTTGTGTCCCCGGAGACGATGTTGTGGAAGAAGCGAGGGTGGGGAGGGGCAGATGTAAGTGCGGTCTTGTAGGGAGAGAGGATGCGGTCGAGTTGGAAGACACGAGTGAGGAGGTTGGCGAGGGTCATAAGGGGCTCGTGGACAAGGGCAGCCGGTAGGTCTTTGCGGCATACACACTTAACGCGAGAGATGAATGCGAAGTCGCTGACGACGTCGATGGGGATATGTTGATGAAACGAGCGGACGTATTGCACAAAACGGTCGGTTGGGCCGTTTTGTTGGAGCCAACAGAATTGGTCGATGTAGGCGTCGACCGTTTTTTGTGGACGGAAGGTGGAGGTGATGAGGGTGGCCCACTCAAGGAAGGTGTGAGGTCAGAGACTGGCGTGATGGCGGTTGGACATTTTAGTGTACCACCAGCGAGCAGCGTTGTCCAGGAGTCTGCTGCCAGCGATGGGGAGCCAGGGGATGACAGGAATACTGTGGAGGGAGAAGGCTTGATGAAGTTTGGTGAGAAAGAGGAAGACATCCTCATGGGGTTGGCCTGAGAAGGTGGAAATCTCGTTGGCGCGGAATGATGGGGGGATTTTGCCTTCTCTGGGGTTAGTGGCGGCAAGGGCGTTGAAATCAACGGTGGGAGAGGAAGAGTCGACCAGGGTGAAATCATTGGTGGAGTTGGTTGGGATGAGAGCATTTGGGGGGAGTAGTGGAAGAGCGAGATACATAGTTTGTGGAATGATTTGGGTATAGTTGGGGATGGTGGAGGTGATAACGGACGAAGTCAAGAGGCATTTTGATTGGGGGGGATGGTTGACGACTGTGTGACGGCGGGGGTTTTCRGCTGGGTGACTATGGTGGAGGTAGTAGTGGATGAAGGTGGGGGTGTGGAGGACGTGCTAGCAGAGAGGGCAGTGGATGTGGGCACGGTCGTAGAAGGAGGTGTTGTGGTCGTCACCACTGTGATTGTCGGGTTGTGATACTCAATAGTGGTCACACGGCCGGATAGGCTAGAGATATTGGTTTCGATTTTGTTGATGGACGCGCGGATATCCGTTTGGAAGGAGGACATCATGCGAATGAGGGTGGTGATATCAGTGGGGATGGCGGGCTCGGATCGTTGTCGCCCGTAAGTTCGCGGGCGAGGCTGTCAACAGACTAGGTGTTGACGGCGGTCGTGTCGA